CACACACACACCACACACACCACACCCACCACACACACCACACACACCACACACACCACACACACCACACACACCACACACACCACACACACCACACACACCACACACACCCCACACACACCACACACACCACACAAGTCACACACACACACACACTTTAGGCTTGGCGAAATTGATTTTTGGAACAGAATTCGCAAGCGGTTCGGCGATTCGGCCACTGTGCGTATCCTAAAGTAGAGAGAGAGAGAGAGAGAGAGAGAGAGAGAGAGAGATCTGCTTGGATGAGCCACGGGAGGCTCAATATATGGCGGGGTTCATCGCGCGGCAAATGTCAAGGTTGTGGGGGATGTTTGAGGCTGGCGACAAGCGAGCAAATGACGCCGCACTCAGAGGAGCTCCCGCATGTCCATACCACAACGACTTGCCGCGCTATCCCAACGTCACTGTGCTTGATCGTGCTGGTATTGTTTTGCCATCTTCTGAGGAAGAAATATCTCGTTCTCAGAGTGTTCGATGGACTTTCGGATCAGCCGAGGAGCGCAACCAATACATTCGCTACTTGGCACTCAAATGTAATGGGCTGTACATCTTCTACAAATTGTGGATTGCAGCGAAGATCCTCGACATCACCAAGGAGGAAATGAAGCTATTGGTCAGCGAACGCAAGCATCCAGTGGGAGACATTGTTTACAGGTGCTTCTCTCTGGCATTCAACTGCAAGTACATATCTTTCGAAAGGACCGGGCTAAACCTTGGTACATGGATATGTGGTCGATGTGAGCGCTATCATTGCGGCCACTGACCCGGGCAAATGTGACGGACCTCTGCTCGATTGGTGCATCCGGAAGGGACATTGGCTTGCGGACGAGCACTACAAGAAGTATGTCCGAGCACGGGACGCGTCGACGTATCACTAGGCTGGCCATTGTGGACCGACCTGTGTGATGCAGAAGTGGATCATCGTTGCTTTTGCGGCATGGTGCGGGCCAGTCCCTCCCACTACGATGGAATGAATTGCGATGTGAAGTGACTTCGTTTGTCCAAGGGATATTCATGGATGGACACTATTGCCTTATGGATGATTTCATTTCCTTATATTATTCGTGGTATCTGGGATGGCTATTTTTTGTTCGCCAATTTCTTTGCCGGTGATATGCAGATGGCTTATGGCCATGCGCTGTTGTGGAGTTCTTTGGCCAACCCACCAACCCATTTCGGTGGATGACAGCTGCGTGATGCGCAAATACGGCAGCTGGGATCTTCAATGACTGCGTTGTGGTACGAGGTATAATGCCTCATGCCTCTGTGTATAGGGGCGCACTGTGGTCTGCGGATGTACGAGTTTTGATTTAATCGCACCCGGCTGAGTTTCACAAAGAATAGATGGCGATGCAATTGTGAATGAAAGAATGTTTCGACACAGTTTCGTAGTCCCAGCCGTGGCCATTGGGACGTGTTGTGATGTTTGGACCGCATGATGAACAGTGCGACCCAAATGGGGGATGTTAAAGCCCTCCTGGCCCCGTGCCTAAATTGGGAAGCCGTTCTGAGGTCCATGTTCTCTTTGGTTGAAGTGTTCCAATGGATGCCAACGTTGGCTCAAGACTCAAGTAGGGCTTATGGTCTTGCATGGACTTGCATATACCTGTGTTCGATCCGAGTGAGAGGAAACAGGTGCGATCGCGCTGCTGATCTCGAACGTGTGTGTGGTTATTGAAGAGCACCCCTTACAACAGTTTACACTGGTTTGGCTGTATCCGTTTAGCCGTATATCTTTACCACGTGATTGAGTACATTCAGCTGGAAGCTTGGTGGACAGCGTCCCACGGGACGTCATCTTGCGCTCTTGACATTAGGTATGCGACACGCCTCCGCAATGTCGGCGCATTTTTTCCATCATAGCAGGGGGGGTGGGGGCTGCCCCAGGTCCAAAAAAGACCCTGGGCCAGGTCCAAAAGCCCCCAACCAGGTCACAAAAGAACCCGCCACAGGTCCAAAAAAAACCATTCCAGAGAGAGAGAGAGAGAGGCTGTACCCCAGTGTGCATGTCACACGCACATGTACATTTAGATAAAACAAAGGAACCGTTCCCATGTACAACTGCGAATGGAAAAAAGTATGAAAGCACTTCGCAGCAAGTGGCCATCCTGGGCATCTCCACCCAAAAACCTGGGGGGCCCGCTGGTTTTCGGCCTCAAAGTCGTGTCAGGCGCAGCCACGGCCGGTGGTGAAGCCTCCGCCCAACTACCCGGCGCCGGCGCCGCCTTCCGCCAAGAGCCCTCCAAAGGCCCAGGCGGAGATGAAGAGACCGACCGGACCCCCCTTTTGCCGAGACCGAACCCGGATCCCGCCCCTCAAAAAAACGCATGCGCATCCAGGTTCGACATGAACTTAGAGAATGGGGGGGGGTTGAGCCGATTCCGATTTTAGGCTTGTTTGTTCTAAGGATGTCACCTCCCATGGTGGGGTTGGCACCCCCAATTTTCTACACCGTGAATAAAAGAAAATGGGTCTGGTCAGGAAGGGTCCTAGGTTGGCCCCCCCATTAAATTAGAAATTTCTGAGTCTGGATTGGTTGACCCCATTGTCTAAAATACTAATTGGTTGGTTGAGAGAAGCCAGGAAAAAAGCCCGCGCTGCGGTTCAAGTGGGATTCGCAGCCCACAAAGCCGCAAAACGGACTGTCCGGTTTCCCTTTGTCTTGACCCACAAATGGCATAGAAGCGCTTTTGTCCTGCATTTCAGAAAGCACGCCAAGTACAGAACTACAAATAATTCTTTGCTAACTGAGGGTCCGCCAGCCTTTGGGCTTGCCATCTCAGAATAATCTTGAGCCAAGACTCAGACAACATGGAGTACCCCACCAAGAGCAAACATTGCATCCTCGCATTTTCGAAATTGATGCCCCTTTTTTCACGACACTAACGTTTTTCGTGAAAGCACGGTGAAGGGTTCTTCTGCTGGGTTCACTTGAGTTGTTCTCATGAGAGCCATTGCAAGGAGTCATTGCAAGGAATCATCATCATGAAGCTCATTGCAAGGTGTCATTGCAAGGAATCATGAAAGTCATTGCAAGGATCCGTGCACTTGCAACTTGCACTTGACTCCTTGCACTTGCAACTTGCACTTGACCCCATGCACTTGCAAGTTGCACTGGACCCCATGCACTTGCGACTTGCACTTGGCTCCTTGCACTTGCAACTTGCACTTGACTCCGTGCACTTGCAACTTGCACTTGACTCCATGCGCTTGGCTCCTTGCAACTTGCACTCCTTGCAATGACTCCTTGCAATGACGTCAAGCAATGACGTGAAGTGATGACGTCAAGTGCAATTGACTTGCGAGGAGTTAAAATCTTTTGTTAGGGCGGCGGGGTAGTGCCGACGACACGCGACGGAAACCGACCCTCTGCGGGGATTGGCGTGGTCGAGGTGCAAAAACTCAAAGTTTTTTGCGACTTTTCTTGTTCTGGTCCTCGGGAGTTGTCTCGTGGTTCGCCTGCTCCCGGGACCGGCGGGTCGCGGGCTCGATTCCCCCCTGGTCCGCGGGCGGGCTTCGCAAGCTGCACGGAGCAACTTGCATAAAGCAACTTGCGCAGAGCAACTTGCGCAGAGCAAGTTGCACAGACCGTTTCGCGCAGAACAACTTGCGCAGAGCAACTTGCACAGACTTTGCACAGAGCGCCTTGCCTAGAGCAACTTGCGCAGAGCAACTTACGCAGAGCAACTTGCACAGAGCGCCTCGCCTAGAGCAACTTGCGCAGAGCAGCTTACGCAGAGCAACTTGCACAGAGCAACTTGCGCAGAGCAGCTTGCACAGAGCAACTTGCAGGGAGCAACTTGCACGGAGCAATTTGCACAGAGCAACTTGCAGGGAGCCACTTCCAGGGACCAACTTGCACGGAGCAACTTGCGCGGAGCAACTTGCGCAGAGCAACTTGCGCAGACCAACTTGCACCGACCAGTTTGCGCAGAGCACCTTGCCCAGAGCAACTTGCGCAGACCAACTTGCGCAGAGCAACTTGCACAGAGCAACTTGCACAGAGCAGCTTGCGCAGAGCAATTTGCGCAGAGCAACTTTGTCAGAGCAACTTGCGCAGAGCAACTTGCGCAGAGCAACTTGCGCAGAGCAACTTACGCAGAGCAACTTGCACAGAGCAACTTGCGCAGAGCAGCTTGCACAGAGCAACTTGCAGGGAGCAACTTGCACGGAGCCAATTTGCACAGAGCAACTTGCAGGGAGCCACTTGCCGGAGCAACTTGCACGGACCAACTTGCACGGAGCAGTTTGCGCAGAGCACTTGCGCAGACCAACTTGCACCGACCAGTTTGCGCAGAGCACCTTGCCCAGAGCAACTTGCGCAGACCAACTTGCGCAGAGCAACTTGCACAGAGCAACTTGCACAGAGCAGCTTGCACAGAGCAATTTGCGCAGAGCAACTTTGTCAGAGCAACTTGCGCAGAGCAACTTGCGCAGAGCAACTTGCGCAGAGCAACTTGCACAGAACAACTTGCACAGAGCAACTTGTACAGAGACATTTGCACAGAGTCAGTTGCACAGAGCTTCTTGCACAGAGCAACTTGCACAGAGCAGCTTGCGCAGAGCAATTTGCGCAGAGCAACTTTGACAGAGCAACTTGCTCAGAGCAGCTTGCACAAAACAACTTGCGCAGAGCAACTATCGCAGAGCAACTTGCACAGAGCAACTTGCACAGAGCAGCGTGCACAGAACAACTTGCAGGGAGCAACTTGCACGGAGCAACTTGCACGGAGCAACTTGCACAGAGCAACTTGCACAGGGCAACTTGCGCAGAGCAACTTGCGCAGAGCAACTTGCACAGACCAGTTTGCGCAAAGCACCTTGCCCAGAGCAACTTGCGCAGAATGTCACGGGGCTGTGATTCTTTCGGGCCAACCGTGGTCTAGTCTTTTTTTCATGGTGAGGTTCTTATATTGGGCCGGCCCAGTGCCGCATCGGACCGAGGTTGGCCCCCCCATTTTCTGAAGTGAGCATGTCTTATGAAGATGTGGTTTTCTAATGAAAAATGTGGTTGGAACCCCCCCAACACCAGACCCCCTGTCACGCGCCAAAGTTGTTCGCAGGCGAACGTCGTCAGAACGCCTCCCGCAGCTGAGCGAAATTGGTGTCAGCAGCCCCTGTCGCTCTGCCCCCGCTTCAGGCTTATTTAGAAACCCTATATGCTTTCAGCAGTGGGTCCAAAAGCACAGCACAACGTCAAAGCATGTCAGGCCAAGCGGGGATGACATAGTTGTCGGGCAATTCGACTTGGTTTTCTCAGATCGGACCGCTTCCGAAGCGCCTCCCCGCTAAGGACTCCGCTAGCCAGATGGAACGCGACCAACCGCGATCCCCGAGCTGAACTACAGGCGTGGACAAACGACACGCGAGGCCTTCCTGGACCGAAGACGGGGCTCCCTAACGTTGACCCCTTGTCGACACCCAAGAAAGGAGTCCCCACTGAACTGAGGGGCCCCCTCATGAGTGACTGGGGGGATATTAGTCAGGGGTTGGCATTGTTGTATTTCCCCCTTTCATTAGGTTAAACAAGCACTGTTTGGACACATCATACACAAAGTATGCATTGGGAGATTACGGGGTAGGAGCCTGCCAACCCATTTGAGCCTGGCATCTTTGTTTGGTGTTGCTTCCCGTTTGCGCCCCTTGAGACTTCCCACCCCCGTTCCGTCAAGAGGACTTGATCCATGTTGGGCTTGGACTATTCCGGCGGTAAACAAAAAGTGCCTGGACTTGCCAATCACGTACAAGCTAGACATCAGTTGACTTCCAGAGGAAGTTTCAGTTTTGGCCAGGCGTCACATACCCCCTGTAACCTTCCAATCAAATGATGTCAGGCCCTGATTCACACCATGGCAAACCAGGTGTGTCCAGCTTTGTACCCTGAAAGAAGCCGGGCATGTGGGTATAATTTTTTCAGTTTTGGCAGATCTCCAGGGGTGGATTCCCCATTCTTTTTTCAAGCATCGTTCGTTTCGATACCCAGCTGTTTCCTCGGCTTTTGGTGGTTTCCTGAAAAGAAGGATCCCTGCTTGCTTGCGTGCTTGCTTGCTTGCTTGCTTGCTTGCTTGCTTGCTTGCTTGCTTGCTTGCTTGCCTTCTTGCGTGCTCGCGCTCTGAGAGTCAGGAAAGAATGTTTGGTAGCCCTAGGTCAGCGAACCTCTCTTCATGAGTTCCGGGACTTTCGACTTTTTGTTTTGTTGGACCATTTTGGTGGTAAAAACAAACACAACAGTTTGGCGATTGTTTTTGGGCCAATCCACTCGAAAAGTGAGGAGCTGTGGATGAGCTTGGGCGGAAGGCGCCTTGGCTGAACAAGGCCTAAGGCGCAATGCCAGGCCTTGCTCCCGAAAAGTTTTTGGCCCAAGCGCGAGGCTTCAATGACGGTACTGCCCGGGTTCCGATCTGAATTTCAGCTCAAAACGGGCTCTTGGTACCTTGCTTCCAATTTTAAGGGATTCATGTTTTGGTCCCTGGGTCCCGAAGAAGTGAGCCTTTTTGTATTTGGTCCCTGGGCAACTGAGAGGGTTGGAACCCGACCAAAGGCAATTTGACCAATGGCAGTCTTTTTGGGTCGTCCTGCGGATGTTTGCGCATGCTCCCGAATGTCCCGAGGAGACGGGTGTGGGGCACAACGTTCCTCCTCTCCACAGTTTGAAGGTTCTGTCTTTGTTCGGGTTTGTTCTTTTTCTAGGAGACCCCCAAAATGATAGTTGTCCTATTGGTTTGCCTGTAAACCTTCCCCAAAAAGGAGTAAAGGCACACTATTTGGGGGCTGGTTTTAAGGGGAAACCAAAAGGCAACACCCATGTAAGCGACAACCCCGAGTGAATCCGGGAATGTCGCAGCCATGCTGACATGCCGCCTTTCCATTGCACAGGAGTGTCCCTTTTTGTGAGGTAGGGAACAACAAACACGATGTTTTTGAAGGGGTCCGATTCCTTAAGAACAAGGCGTACAGATTTGGGCAGACCGTTGCAAGGTTTTGAACATGAACATATGTTGTTTTGTTGGTGGTGAAGTGCTTGGTGCACCTTAAATAGAAACCAAAAGAAACACCATTCGGAGGGCGGTCGCCTACAAAAGAAACCCGACTTTTTAGAACACAAAGGGGAACCAGCCTGAGACCCATCTATGTATCCTAAGGGTCCGACTCCAGTCAGATTCAATTGTTTTGGTGTCGAGAATGGGAGTGTTTCTTTTCGGGCCGTTGAGGAATTGGTTGGAGGACAAGAGATGACAAGTGATTCAATGTCCTAGTTCCACGATTGTGGACAAGAGAGAATTCACTCCCCCCTCTTCACAAGTGCTCGGATCCCCATAAATGAATGCACAATAATGTTTCCCATTCCCAAGTCTCCCGAACTAGGTTATTACTAGCCGATACTAAGCCAATGTTGAGCCACACGTTTCCGCCCGACCCGGGAAGGCAGCGGAAAACTCCCAGTTGTCAGTTCCATTGGCGACAGTTTCTCTGGGTTTGAACCACCGTTAAGGAACAATGGCTCATATAACCACCGTCGTTGACGTAAGAATTTTGTCGCCATCCAAATTGGGTCAAGCATTGCAACGGGGGTTCGGCTGAACCCCAGAGGGTTGGCGTCCAAAGGTTGGCGTCCAAAGCAGAGCTTGGGCTCTTTTTTCAGGAGCTTTTAGGGACCATTGGAAGGCGCCAGCCCGGTCGCAAGAGGCAATTTTTGGGGGTTTGCCAGCTGCCCAGGCATGAAAAAACACCGAGTCGCTGTCAACGGTTCCATCTTGAGGATCCCGTTCCGGCCGGCAGGCGATCCGCCTGCACCCCACGTAACACACAGGAAGTTGTTCTACGGGGATGAATTGATGTCAGACGGAAAAAAAGGATCGAGGTATTTGCAACATGCCAAAGTGTTCAACGCCTATAGATAGAAGTTTGGTTCGTTCTCTGTTTTTTGGGCCTTTTCCAGGCCCTTCCTGGTGCCAGGGATTTTGGGTAGGAATTCACTCTTCCAGGCTGCGACTTGCGAACCTGGGGGGGGAGTGTCTGCTTTGGTACGGGGCTCATTGCGCGGAAGTTGAACGCAATCATCTCGTGCTCCAAGGTGTACAGAAGGAACTAGCTGAAGGAAGCGCTGCCTGGAAGCGGCCAACGTTGGCCGAATTTTGAATTTCGTTTGGTGGAAATTCATGAGTGCTCGAACTTGCTTTTTGCTGCGAACCGTTTCCCATTCATCAGAATCGGTTCTCAGTCTATGACATAGGGTCCTCGGGGCGCAGGGCGCCTTCAAGAACAATGGATGGGCCCGCCATTGCCGGGGCCGCCATTGCCCGCAGTCCACAAAAGAAAAAAGCACTGCGTGGAGATGTGCATTTGTTCGAAGCTCGTCAACATTAATGTTGACCCCGTATCAGTCTGTAACCCCCCCCCTGTGTTTGGTTTGTTACACAATTGATCTCCCGCAACCATTTGGCTCAGGCCCTTCTGTATCATAGCAATACTCATGATTGCGTGACAAAGGAACCTTTGCAGGCCGCTTACAGGATTATACAACAATACAATCCACCAGGGACAATCCATCCTCCAATCATCCATAGTGGCATATTGGATTCTCTCCGGAATAGATCCAGGGACCTAAACAACGACCTCTACTACCACAAGGGTACCAGTTCCCTTCTGGGATAGGTACCCCGGCAGTGGGCCTCAATTTGTGGTAGCGGAGCGGGTTTTCCGCAGAGATCCAAGGAAGATGTCATCCGATGGAGAAAGCTTCATGGAAGCCTATTCAAGTATGGCCAAGCCACAAGGCTATACGGAGGAACCACTCAATTTATCGATGACCGCCAAGCAGCCGCCATCGTACGACGGAAAAGACAGCTGGCTCAGGTATGAAGAACTCGTAGACGACTGGGTGACAATCACTACGGTGGAAGCACCCAAGAGAGGACCACTGCTGAAAAACAGACTCACCGGAGATACATGTATAAGGCAGTCCTCCAAAATGACCTTCTGCAAGATCCTGACGAAGGAGTCAACTACTTCAAGAACACGCTGAAGAAGTACTTTTTGAAAGGTGCGACCAACTCTTCATCACGACCAGGACATCCATTCAAGATCCATCCATCCGACCTCAAGGAGGTAACCGAAGCAACACCTTCTTCATCATCGAGCAAGGTGTATATGAAGGAGAAGAAGGCTTTTGTGTTGAGGATGAAGAAGGACTTGAAGGATTCATGTCAAACAACGATGAAGAGACATTCTGGGTCCTCGAGGAGAACGATGCGTTCATAGCAAGAAAAGTGTCGGGGCGGAACTTCAAGTTCAAGAAGAGCAAAGGAAAAGGAACATCAGGAAACAAAAAGGGCAGTCACCAACGAGGTGGCTTCAAACCCTTCAGAAAAAGCGGTTCTGGCGGAAAGGCCAATATGGCCAACGAAAACTATGATCCCTACGACCAGGCATATTGGGGAAAAGGCAAAGGAAAGAAGGGAAAGAAAGGAAAATCACAATTCCAATATCCCTATGATGGAAACAAAGGTTATCCATCCCATGAGAATGGCAAAGGAAAGAGCGGACATGAAAAAGGGAAATCCAAGACGTTCGCAGCCAGAGAGAAGACGGAGGAGCAGCCCGCCATCCAGCAGACTGCACCATCCATAGAGCCTACCTATGCCGGTTGGACAGACCAAGGCTGGGATCAATCATGGACATGGAACGAACATGGCTGGTACTCATCCCATGACACATCCAGGTCAAAACAAGCGCTAATGGCATTCCATGGTGCATATGAGCATCATGAGAAAAAGGCAATCCACGGGAAGCTGATCCAATCAGATACAGTTTCAGAACACAATGGATGTACCAGATCTATGGGCAGCTGGCATGCAATCCAGCGTTTTACTCAGGCCATCGAACCAATGAAGGACATCGTCTCCTATCAGTACATCCCGCCCGAGACCAAGTTCACTTTTGCAAACGGAGAGACCGCCAGGGTAAATTGGACCCTGCATCTTCGATATGACACAACTCCTCCATGCAGTACCAACATCGACGTCCTTGAACAAGGAACTGCACCGATCCTCCTCAGCATCAGTCACATCCGGACCATCGAGCACACACCTCAATGTGACAAGGTCACATGCGAGGCCTTTGGCATGAACCGTCAAGCAGTTCCAGTATCCGGTACAGGACATGCACTCGTCGGCCTCGCTGGAGTTGCAAGAGTGAAGGCACATGGAGAAATTGCTCACAAAGGCCTCACCAACTATGTCTATGATGATGACAACAGCGTCAAGTTTCCCTCCAGGGGTCTCACCAAGAGTGAAACTGTTTGTGCAGCAAAATCATCCGAGACAAAGGAGGACCTAGCAACTCCTAAAATCATTGGGTCTCAAAAGCAGGACCATTGGATCCTTGACAAGAAGAACAAGCAGCACATCCGTGTGCGCATCACGCCCCGCAAGGCGCTGATGGAGCCAAGGAGTGTCCAATCAATCCTGATAACATTAGCCGAGAGCGTACTACGGAAATCATTGATGCATCCGCAGGTGGAGATCCAGACATCCTAGAAGACAATTGGAGACTTACATCCCAGGCAAACAAACCGATGAATAACCTGTGGGTAGGTAAGACCATTTTCACCTTCGCGGACAATTCGCTTAAGGACGAAGAAGCAGGTTCAGGATCGGCAGCAGACAGGATCATCGACAAGAAGGGCCGGTCGACCATTGAGCCAGATCCTTTCGCACCATCCTCAGAAGAACCAACATCGCTTCCGCTTGCCCTAGGCAGAATCCACAAGCGATTGTCAAATCCCGAGAGTTGAAGAAGCTCCACCTCCACATTCGATCTATTTGACAAAATCCGAAGTGAATGTGAAGTTTGCCAAGCGGCGAAACATGCACCATCACGAAGCAAGACGAGTGGACTTCGGGCGGACACCTTTGGTGACATGACATTCATTGATCACTGTCAAGTTCCTCTTGGAACAGGAGAACACATCATTGTTTTTGTCATCCTGGATGACATTGCTCACTGCAGAGGCAGTGACAACTACGCATGGAGTCAGAACATCACTGTCCTCAGGAACTATTTTGACCAGTACCACTTGCAGCCCAAATCGGTTGTCGCAGATCAAGCCTTCATGACAGAGACATGGGAACATTTCTATCAGTCCCTTGACATGACGCCGATATCCTTGGGACCGAACACACCATGGCCAAATCGAGCTGAAGCAGCAGTTCGACTCCTGAAGGCACAACTAAAGATCATGCTAAGGACATACAGACAGCTGGCGAAGGCCGCTGCAACTGTCAGGAATCAGACTGTCACCTACGGGGGTGTAACACCATTGGAGCTCGCATTCGGAAGACGACCAGCAAATCTCATCCAACTCGATGTCGCAACACCAACTCAGTTGACGATTGACAGGAATGAAGAAGAGCTGACAGCCATCCAGATCAAGCAGCTGTCTAAGCAAGCATTCCAAGAAGCGCGTCAATCCGAAGACATCCGACGAGACCTTGCTCAAAATTTCCGAATGAGTTCTAAGCCCTTTCAAGGTATTCTACTGGCAGGAAGACAAATCCAAGATCCGTTCCGATGGAAGCAAGGGAGGAATATGGCTGAAAGGGAAGGCCATTTCCATTGAAGGAGCAATGGTAGGACTTGATCTTGGGACTCGACTCATCAAGGTTAACATGACGAAGGTCAGGAAGGATGAAACCATCCCTCCGGGGAAACCTGGAATTGACCTTCTATTGCCAGGAGCGAGAATCCTTGCAGAAGGAGCAACCCGGCTCCTCTGCAGACGCCAAGAAGAAGGAGTCATCCGCACCAGCTCCTAAGCCAAGATCCTCAGTGCCATTACGTATTGCGGGAAAAACAACTCCCAAACCTGCAGCACCTCATCCGGCAGAGAACATGTTCGTCGAGGACCTCACATCCGTTCCTGAACAAGCACATTGGAATTGTGCACGTAAAGAAAAATTTCCACGTTCTCGAGATCTTTGCAGGAAGTGCCAGATTCAGTCAATGCTGTGCACTCTCAGGTCTGAAGGTTGGGACTCCCGTAGGCATCCGCACCGGATTCGACGTAATGACATCCAAGAAACGTGGTCATAGAGATCATCAGGGAGCAAGCGCCTGATGTTATCCTAATGGCACCGGTCTGTGGACCATGGTCAAATATGCAGAACATCCAACAAGACCAACAAAAGGTCGGGGAAAAGCGGAGACGCTACCTTCCCATGGTTGAATTTGTGGCATCCATTGCGCGATATCAGTTGAAGCACGGAAGATACCTCATCATTGAAAATCCTCAGACACCCAGGATATGGTATCTGAAATGTATGCAACAATTGTTTTCAGATCCATCCGTGACCTGGGGAGACTTTCATTTCTGTGCATACGGACTAAAAGATCCTGAATCCGGGCTCAGAAGTCTCAAGCCCACGAGCTTGATGCGCTGCTTACCTCCCGAGGTAATGAGACCGATCTTCAGAAGGTGTAATTTTTTCCAGCTCAGTCAAGCATGAACACCAACCCCTAGAGGGAAACGCTGGTACTTTCGGAAGCAGGACCAAACTGGCACAGGTGTATCCTTACCAGTTCTGTCAGGATCTCGCGCATATCCTCCTACGGCACATGAAGGTGAAACCACTTGACAACGAGGTGTACCTCTTGGAGGACCTTTTCGAACCATTCACCATCAAGCAGGTTGACATCCTGAGAAAGGAGATGGAAGCCATTGACAAGGAGTTCAACATGACCAGCAGCAGTCTTGCAGTAAGAATACAGGACCTGCCGTTCAACAAGGACGTTCAACCATTGGTCATCCAGTGTAGTTTGCAATGTGATGTATTTATCAACCATGTAAAACCCCAATGCATGAATGTCTCACTTGCGCAGTCTCATCATTACGACTGCGTATGGCTCAAGAAAAAGCGCGCTGTGTACAGGGTTCATTTGTGACCCTTCCCGGTTGTTTAACCTGTTCTATAGGTTATCAGCCGTAAGCGGCTCTTTGTACAGAGTTGTACGCCATGGATGGCGACCCTGGACTACCCCATACCGAGGTGCGTCCCACACCTGATGAGCCCGCAGGCGATGAAGACGCCTCGCAATATGAACCGACTAGTCGAGCAAACTCCCAAGTGGCCAGGGAGCTCATCAGGAAGGGACAAGCACTGAGCAGTCAGGGCCCCGAATCACTTCGACCGTGGGAGGACTGGGCGGTCTGGTGCTCGATCTCCTTCACCTGTTGGATCAGATCGGCATCGGCATGGTGACATCGTCATGTACGACCCCCAGGCCGATCTCGCAAGGGGAAACCCTATGCCA